CGGGCCTAGACCCTTCATCAGATGAAGGGTCTAGGCCCGAAACGTCAGCCTCTCTGCTCCTATGATGCTGCTTGGCCTGCTGTGTTCATCCAGCCCTGCACCTTGTTGTCTGAGATTTATTTGGCATCTGTTTTCAAAATCTAACATTGTACTCCATCTGCCAGACCAAATACAATGTTCATAAGTGTGAGGTCATCCATTTTGGTAGGAATAACAGGAAAATGGAATATGTTTTAAATGGTAAAAAAATTTCAGCACACTGCTGTGCAGACGGACTTGGGTGTCCTTGTGCATGAATCGCTAAAAGTAGGATTGCAGGTGCAGCAGGTAATTAAAAAGGCAAATGGAATTTTGTCTGTCATTGCTAGAGGGATGGAGTTTAAAAACAGGGAGGCTATGCTGCAGCTGTATAGGGTCCTGGTGAGGCCACACCTGGAGTACTGCGCGCCGTTTTGGTCTCCTTACTTGAGAAGAGATATACTAGCACTGGAGGGGGTACAGAGGAGATTCACTCAGTTGATTCCAGAGTTGAGAGGGTTGGATTACGAGGAGAGACTGAGTAGACTGGGATTATACTCATTGGGATTCAGAAGAATGAGGGGAGATCTTATAGAAACATATAAGATTATGAAGGGAATAGATAAGGTGGAGGCAGGGAGGTTGTTTCCGCTAGCAGGTGAAACTAGGACTAGGGGGCATCGCCTCAAAAGGGAGGCAGATGTAGGACTGAGGTCAGGAGGAACTTCTTCACCCAAAGGGCTGTGAATCTGTGGAATTCCCTGCCCAGTGAAGCGGTTGAAGCTACCTCACTGAATGTTTTTAAGGCTAGGCTAGATAAATTATTGAACAGTAAAAGAAATTAAGGGTTATGGTGAGTGGGCGGGTAAGCGGAGCTGAGTATCAAAAGATCAGCCACGATCTTATTAAATGGCGGGGCAGGCTCAAGGGGCCAGATGGCCTACTCCTGCTCCTAGTTCTTATGTTCTTATGTTCTTATGTTCATGTCCTAAAGTAATTAAAATCTTCAGTTCCCCACTTTTTTGTTTTTGTGCCTCCTACATCCAGATGCATTTGAACTTTCAGAAGAATAACACTGACAACCTGCAATATCTTGTAGAGGACTTCAAGCAAGTCAATTACTAGCTATATAAAAATGCCTCTTTGAAACCTACATACATGTGTACTTATCTTCAATGAAATGCAAAATGCAATAACATCATAAGTTCACCTTGTTTGGCATGGATAGCTTTCCAGATTTGGTCTTCAAGGGATTTACAAAAACAGAATCAGATTGGAGTGAAAGCTCGGCTCCAACTTCTTGGGTTTTACTTTTCACCTTTGATTCAGGTCTAATGTTTCCTTCCATTAGCAATCCTAAAACAGAAATAGTTTGTAGACGTGTGATTCAGAATAGTAACAACTTATTCATTTACAACTTTAGAAAATTATTCACAGCATGCTGGTGATACCGGTAACACTTCTTATTCATAATTAGAGATGGAAAATAAATACGTGGAAAGGTAGACAATTAAAAAAAAAAAAACAAACAGTGAGCTGATCCATCTCAACCACCCCAAACTGCCATAATGCAAGCTGCCCATGGGTGTTCAGTGTGGGTTGTACAGGGGGCACTCAGCTACATTATAGCCTTGGTCCAAACGTTTAAAAAAGCTGAATTTCAGAGCGAAGATGCAAGTTACTGCCCTTGACATCAAGGCAACATTTGACTAAAGGTGGCACAAAGTGATGTAGCAAAATTGGAATCAAGGGGGAAGACCGCTTAGATTCAAATGGGAAGGTGACGGCCTAGTGGTGTTATTGTTAGACTATTAACCCAGAGACCCAGGTTTGAATCCCACCACGGCAATATAAAAATAAACAGGAATTAACGATCTACTGATGACGATGAAATCATTGTCGATTGTCAGAAAAACTCATCCGGTTCACTAATGTCCTCCATGGAAGGGAAAATCTGCCATCCTCATCTGGTCTGGCCTACATGTGACTCCAGAACCACAGCAATTTGGTTGACTCTCAACTGCCCTCTGAAATGGCCTAGCAAGCCATTCAGTTGTAACAATCACTACAAAATCTCAAAGAAATGAAACCGGACAGATCACCTGGCATTGAGCTAGTCACTGGAAAAGATCAATGGCAGAAACAGCCCTGTAGACTCTACAAAGTCCTCCTTACTAACATTTGGAGGCTAGTGCCAAAATTGGGACAGCTGTCTAACAGACGAGCCAAGCAACAGCTTGGCATAGTCATGCTTGTGGAATCATACCTTAAAGGTAATGCCCCAGACACCACCATTACCATGCCTGGATATGTCCTGTCGTACCAGCAGGACAGACCCAGCAGAGGTGGTGGCACAGTGGTATACAGTCAGGAGGGAGTTGCCCTGAGAATCTTCAGCATTGACTCCAGACCCCAAGTAATCTCATGGCTTCAGGTGGATCCACCTCTTGTGGATTACCACATGCCGCCCTCCCTCAGCCGACGGATCGGTACTCCTCCATGTTGAGTAACACTTGGAGGAAGTACCGAGGATGGCAAGGACACAAAATATACTCTGGGTGGGGGATTTCAACGTCCACCACCGAAAGTGGCTCAGCAGCAGTACTACTTATCAGGCTGGTCAGGTCCTAAAGGACATAGCTGCTAGACTGGGTTTGCAGCAGGTGGTGAAGGAACCAACAAGGAAAAACATACTGGACATCATACTTACCAATATGCCAGCTGCAGATGCATCTGTCCTTGACAGGATCAGTCGGAGTGACAACCATACAGCCCTTGTGAAGATGACGTTCCGCCTTTGTACTGAAAATAACCTCCATCGTGCTGCGGGGCACCATCACCGTGTTAAATGGGACAGACTTCGCACAGATCTAGCAACTCAAGACTGGGTATCCATGAGGCACTGTGGGCAATCAACAGCAGCAGAACTGTACTCCAGCACAATCTGTAACCTCATGGTGCGGCACAACCCCCACTCAACCATTGCCATCAAGCCAGGGGATCAACCCTGGCTCAATCGAAAGTGCAGGAAGGCATGCCAGGAGCAGCACCAGTCATACCTGAAGATGCGGTGTCAACCTGGCGAAGCCACCAAACAAGAATACTTGCATGCCAAACAACGCAAGCGGCAAGTGATAGACAGAGTTAAGCAATCCCATAACCAACAGATCAGGTCTAGCCTCTGCAGTCCTGCCACATCCAGTTGAATGGTGGTGGACGATTAAACAACTCACTGGAGGAGGCGGTTCCATAAATATCCCCATCCTCAGTGATGGAGAGCCCAACACATCAGTGCAAAAGATAAGGCTGAAGCATTTGCAGCAATTTTCAGCAAGAAGTGCAAAGTGGATGATCCATCTCGGCCTCCTCCAGTGGTCCCCCACATCAAGACACCAGTTTTCAGCCAATTTGATTCATTCCATGAGATAACAAGAAACGGTTGGAGACACTGAATAGCGCAAAGGCTACAGGACCTGACAACTTTCCAGCAACAGCACTAAAGACTTGTGCTCCAGAGCTTGCCGTTCTCCTAGCCAAGCTGTTCCAGTACAGTTAAAACACTGGCATCTACCCGACAAGGTGGAAAATTGCCCAAGTACGTGTTGTACACAAAAAGCAGGAAAATGCCAATCTGGTCAATTACCATCCCATCAGTTTACTCTCAATCGTCAGTAAAGTGATGGAAGGTGTCATCAACAGTGCTATCAAGCAGCACCTGCTCAGTGACGCCCAGTTTGCGTTCCGCAAGGGCCACTCAGCTGCTGACCTCATTACAGCCTTGAATCAACCATGGACAAAAGAGCTGAATTCCAGGTGAGATAAGTGACAGCCCTTGATATCAAGGCTGCATTCAACCCAGTGTGGCATCAAGGAGCCCTAGCAAAACTGAAATCAGCGGGAATCTGGGAGCAAAAACTCTCTTGGGTGGTTAGAGCCCTACCTGATGAATAGGAAAATGGATGGGAAGATGGTCGTGGTTGTTGGAAGTCAGTCATCTCAGCTCCAGGACATCTCTGCAAGAGATCCTCAGGATAATAAACTAGGCACAACCATCTTCAGCTGCTTCAATGATCTTCCCTCATAAGGTCAGAAGTGGTGATATTCACCAATGATTGCACAATGTTCAGCACCATTCACGACTCCTCAGATACTGAAGTAGTCCACATCCAAATGCAGCAAGATCCGGACAAGATCCAGGCTTGGACTGACAAGTGGCAAGTAACATTCGCTCCGCACAAATGCCAGGCAATGACCATTTCCAATAAAAGACACAATCTAACCACCACCCCTTAACATTCAATGGTATTACCATCACTGACACCCCCACTGTCAACATCCTGAGTGTTACCATTAATCAGAAACACAATTTGGCTCACCACATAAATGCAGTGTCTACAAGAGCAGGTCAGAGGTTAGGAATACTGTGGCAAGTAACACACCTCCTGACTCCTCAAAGCCTGTCCATCATCGACAAGGCACAAGTCAGGAGTGTGATGGAATACTCCCCACTTGCCTGGATGAGTACAGCCCCAACAACACTCAAGAAGCTTGACACCATCCAGGACAAAGCAGCCCGCTTGATTGGCATTACATCCACAAGCCTTCACTGCCTCCACTACTGCTGCTCTGTAGCAGCAGTGTGTACTATCTATAAGATGCACTGCAGAAATTCACCAAAAAGATTCTTAGACAGCACCTTCCAAACATATAACCACTTCCATCTGGAATTACAAGATACATGGGAACACCACCACCTGCAAGTTCCCCTCCAAGCCACACCATCCCGACTTGGAAATATATCACCACTCCTTCGCTGTCACTGGGTGAAAATCCTGGAATTCCCTCCCTAATCGCATTGTGGGTCAACCCACAGCAGGTGGGCAGCAGCAGTTCAAGGCATCAGCTCACCACCACCTTAAGGGCAACTAGGGACAGGCAATAAATGCTGACTAGTGATGCACACATCCCACAAATGAATAAAAAAACTTCATGCCTTCAACATTCAAACCCTTCATCACCAACACACAGTGGCAGTGTGTATCATCTGAGAGATGCAGTGCAGCTACTCACCCAGGTTCTTTTAGGAGCATCTTTACAAACCAAGACATCTACCATCTAGAAGGAGAAGGGCAGCAGATGCACATGAACACTACGACTTATAAGCTCACCAAGCCACATACAACCCCGAGTTGAAATTATATCACTGTTCATTCACAGTCATTGGGTCAAAATATTGGAACTCCTTTCCAAATAACATTGCGGGTGTACCAACACTAAATGGCGCAGTCCAAAAAAGATGCCTGGCCACCACCTTCTGAAAGGCAATTGCAGATGAACAATATATGGTGGTCTAGCCAGCAATGCTCTCATCTAGGAAGATGAAAAGTAAATCATCACAAAGTACAACTGTTAAAATTTTACATGGACATCCATCCCTTCTTCAGGAAAATCCCTACAATTGAAATTGAAGGCATCAGATCACGAGTAATAAAAGATTCTGAATACGAATTAAAACCTAGGAAATAAAACATTCTGGATAAAGGCACTTTTATGCTGGAACGTTTTACACCCTATCTATCTTAAAATGTGTGTCACTGGCACCTTTTACAAAAATAAGATGTTGGCAATGTAACCAAACAACTCAAATTTTCCATGAATAATAAACAAATTTATTATTTTGCAAATATCAACATACATCACAACAAAGTAATGTGTTATTGATCAAAATGCATTTGAAAGCACCTCCAACACTTAAATAGTTGCAGATGTTTCAGGAAGAGAAACAAAAAGTGACCTGGACAGTAATTCACAAAACCATACCTGGCACAAAGACCATGGATTGTTCTTCATCTGATGCTAGATGTAGCATTGTTAAAGAAAGTGAGATGTGCTTAAATGGCACATAAACTAGACCTAACCAAAGATGAAAATATGAGACATACTCCAATTGTTACAAAAATACCCATACAACTAGAGTTCGATCATTCCGAATTAGCTGCAATTCAGAGAACAAAAATCGTCTTTGTCCCTCTTTAGTATTTGCCTTTAAGAATGACACTCCCAAAAATATCATAGAAAGTTTCAGCAATCATACAGTCTGCAGATAATTGTGACTTTTCTGAACGCTGAGATATTTTTACAAATTGAAAGAAGTAACAACACTTCTAACATGAATCGCTGCAATTGAACCAGATTGCAGCTCTGATCACGATGTACAATTAGAATCACTCCAATCTCCTTTTAAAAAAGGTTCAAAACTATTACTGAAATGCTCAAATAATGGGTAGAAAAGAAACTAAACTAGTCAGCAAGAAAGTTGGCAAGCATATCCAAGAATTTCAAACAAGCCATTTAAAGTCCCACCAGGGATATACTGGCAGAAAGAGGTTCACTGCCCCAGTATATCCTACCCCACCAAGAGAACAGACTTGCTATGTGTGCTTTCCACTGGAGAATGAGTTGCTCTGCAAGACCAGATTCTAACCACTCTACTGTTCCAGTACTTTTTCCAAATCCTAAACCAGCTCCCTGGAGCTCCATTTCATAAAACAAAGCAAAGGAGGAGGTCACTCAGCCTATCAAGGCATAACAGCTCTTTGCAAGCATAATTCAGTCAATCACACTATCTACCAACAAAACCTCATACCTTCCCATTAGGCCAGGTAATTAAAGACCTATTTTATATTGTCTTTTAATGTTTTAGTGCATCACCTCACATTTCTCTGCATTGAACCCCATCTGCCAACTACTGACCCACTCCACCAACTTAGCAATGCCCTCCTTACAGTCTATAATTCAAGCCAAGTTTAGAGTCATCCGCAAATTTTGAAATTATTCTCGGTACACCAAGATCCAGATCATGATATAGAAAAGCAAGGATCCCGATACTACTCCCTGGGGAACTCCACTACAAACTGTTCGCCAGCCAAAAAAAAAATCCATTGACAATTACACTTTTTTTTTAAAATCACTCAGCCAATTTTGTATCTATGTTGCTCCTGTCTCTCTTATTCTATGACCTATAACCTTCCTCACAAGTCTGTTGCGTGGCACTGTATCAAATAACTTTAGGAAATCCAAGTCTAGCACCTTAACAGCATTACCCTTATCGACCCTCTCACTTCTTCAAAATATTCCAGCTAGTTCATTAAACATGATTTCCCCATTAGAAATCTGAGCTGACTCTTCCTAATCAACCCACCTTTGTCCATATGATTACTAATTCTATCGTTTCTAGCAAGTCCCCCAAAGTTAAACTAACTTGTATGTAATCGCTAAGATTATCCTTACAACCTTTCTTTAATAATGCCTAATGTTCCCAATTCTCCTGGCAGCTCTCCCGAATCCAGGAGAACTGAACCATTACGGCCAGTATCTCAACAATTTCTACCCTCACTTCCTTAAAAATCCTTGGATATATCTCACCTATTTCTGATACTTTGTCAACTTTAAGTGCCAACAATCGAACCAACACTTATTCCTTATCAATTCAGAACCCTTCTAGTAACAGGGTTTCCTTCTCTGTCACCATCCTCCTCTTTTATAAAGTAGATAAATGAATACTTTTCATCATCTCAGCTACTTCCATTTGTAAGTCCCCTATTTGATCTCTGATCAGCCCGACTCCTCCTTTAACCACTCTTACTTTTTTTAAGTCTATAGAAGACTTTGGGATTTCTCTTTATGTTAACTGCTAGTTTTTATTTAATTCACTCGTGGGACGTAGTATCATTGGGACAGCATTTATTGCCTGCCCCTAGTTGTCCTTGTGGCTTCTTGAATCGCTGCAGCCCGTGTGCTATAGGTAGACCCACAATGTCATGAGGGAGGAAATTCCAGGATTTTGACCTAGCGAAAATGAAGGAACTGCAACATATTTCCAAGTCAGTACAGTGAGTAGCTTGGAGAAGAAATTGAAAATGGTGACATTCCCATGTATCTGCCACCCTTGTCCTTCTAGATGAAAGTGGTCATGGGTTTGGAAGGTGCAGTCTAAGGTTCTCTGGTGAATTTCTACAGCACACCTGTAGACAGTAATCACCGCTGTTAGTGAACATCAGTGTGGAGGGAGTGGATGATTGTGGATTTGGTGTCAGTCAAGTGGACTGCTTTGTTAAACTTTAAGTGTTATTGGAAGTGCACTTGTTCAGCAAAGCAGGGAGTATCCGATCGCACTCCTGACTTGTGCCCTGTAGATCATGGACAGGCCTGGTGGAGTCAAGAGATGTGTTTTTGGTCAATGGTAACCTCCAATATCTCTTATTAGAGAGAGTCTTTGTCTGGTATTTGCATGGTCACAAATCTTACTTTACTTCACAGGATGAAGGCATCACTGGCCAGGCCAACATTTATTGCCCATCCCCGATTCCTCTTTGCTTCCCTTATTTGGTTTTTCAGCTCCCCCAAACCTTTGATAGTAACTGTTGATTTTCATTTAGAATTTCTGCCTTGCACCTGTCATAAGCACATATTTTGTTACTAATACTTATTTCTATCTCCTTGGTCGTCCAGGAAACTTTCAATTTGTTTGTCCTATCTTTTTCTTTCGAGGGAATACACCCCAACTGCACTTGAACCATCTGCTCTTTGAAAGTGAACCATTTTTCAGTTACTAATTTTCCTGCCAACCTCATTCAAATCAATTCTACTCAGCTTTGTTATCGCCCCCATTAAAGTCAGCTCTCTGCCAATGGATTTTCTTACTATGGATTGTTGCACTGTCATTCTCCAATGCTATCCCGAACCTTATGATACAGTAATCGCTATCTCCTAAATGTTCTCCCACTGACACTTGGACCATGTCATTTGAGGACCAGGTCTAACAATGCATCCTTTCCTTGTTAGACTGGACACATATTACTCTAGGAAACTCTCCCAAATACAAGCTAGGAACACTTGTCCCTCACTGTCTTTACACTACTAGTATCCCAGCATACATTTAGGTAACTGAAATCCTCTATTATAACTACTCTCTGCAAATTTCCTGCATATTTGTTCCTCTACATCCTTTCCACTAGTTGGTTGTCTATATACTACACTGAGCAATTTAACAACACCCTTTTTATTCTATAGCGCTAGCCAAGTTGACTGTGCTTGAACCCTCAGGCATCCTATTTCTCCAGCACAACAATACCCTCCTTAAACCATATTGCTACCTCTTCTTTCCTTCCTTTTTTGCTTTTCCTGAATAAGCTATACCCAGAATATTTAACACCCAGTCTTCCCCTTCTTTAGGCCAAGTCTGCATCATTACCACAACATTGTAGTTCCACACTGCAATCTGCCTGTAACTCCCCAATCTTACTATACTCTGTGCATTTACATAAATGTTAACTCTGATTGCCTATTAACTTACTGTCTTCTCTGCTAGTGCTAGCTGTATCCATATTTTTTTTTAAATTAATGCACAGGATGAAGGCATCATTGGCCAGGCCAACATTTATTGCCCATCCCTGATTGCCCAGGGGGCAGTTAAGGGTCAACCACGTTACTGTGGGTCTGGAGTCACACGTAGCCCAGACTAGATAAGGATGGCAGATTCCTTTCCTAAAGGATTTTAGTGAACCAGATGAGTTTTTCCCGACAATCAACAAAGGAGTCTAGTGATGACCATGAAACCAAATTGCAGACTTTTTTTATTGAATTCAAACTCCACCAACTGTCGTGGCAGATCCCCAGAACATTACCGGGGTCTCTGGGCTAACAGTCAGATGATAATACCACTAGGCCATCACCTCCCCGAAGTATTTTATAAGCCCTGGTGTTCTCCTCTACTATTCTTTCTTTGTTTCTACAGCCTGCCAGGTTATTTTAAAGGACTTCCAATGGGTCTGCCAAAATGGCCCACAAGGGCGACAGTCCCGCCTCTGTTCAAGTGTAACCTGTCTGGCTTGTACAGGTGCTAACTTGCCCACGGCCAGTCTCAGGCCCTCCTGCACTATCTTACTAGTGACACATTCATCTGCCTTATTTGTCTGATTTCTGTACTTGCTTGCACGTGGTACTGGGAGTAATCCAGAGATTTACATTTGTGGTCCTGCTTGTTAATTTTCAACCTATCTCCCTTAATTCTGATTTGAGGATCACATCCTTCTTCCTACTAAAATCATTGGTACCAACGTGGATCACAACCTGTCTGTGCATGTGTAGCTTTAAAAAGTATTCTGGTCCAAACGGATGTACTGAAGTCCATCTTCCAAAATTTTGCACAATGTATGAATGCCTTGCTATAATTTTCTTTATTTTATTTACTTGCTGAACTTCATTTACTCTACATTTGAACATGTGAAAGCAACAGTAACAGACCATTCAGCCCCTCAATCCTCCTCCACCATTCAATAAGATCATGCTGACCAATGAGTTGCAGTATCTACTTTCCCATCTATTTCTTATACCTCTGTCTAACAAAAATCTACCCACGTGTTAAAAACTTTCAATGACCACACTAACATCACTGTGGAGACAAAGCTCCAAAGCTGCATAACCCTCAAAAATTTCTTCTCATCACTGACCTGAAAGGATGGCCTGATTTTAAAGTGTTGTCCCCTTAGTCCTGGACCCAATAAGAGGAAACATCCTTTCCACATTCACCTTATCAAGACTGTTCAGGAGCTTAAATAGACACATGAATCAAGTCATCCCTCACTCTTGATGATCAGAGGATTAGATTAGATAGGGTGGACAGTGGGAGCCTTTTTTCTCGGATGGTAATGGCTAGCACGAGGGGACATAGCTTTAAATTGAGGGGTGATAGATATAGGACAGATGTCAGAGGTAGGTTCTTTACTCAGAGAGTAGTAAGGGCGTGGAACGCCCTGCCTGCAAAAATAGTAGACTCGCCCACTTTAAGGGCATTT